CTTTTTGGCCTCCGGCAGTTCGTGGGGGTTTTAACATCACTCCAATGACTTTTTTATGTTTCCGGACAAATTTGGGAAACCCTACAATGTATCCTTTCTCCAATTTTCATGTCCATGCCTTCCTTTTTCCTCAAATCCCCATTGGTGTTTTATGAGCTTTTGAAACCCCCTCCTCCCCCCTACCCCTTCATCTTTCCCCCAGGTTGATTTTCCCTTTTGGGGAAGGGTTTGTGTCTTTATTATCTCGCGATTTTTTGGTTTCGGTGGACTGCTATGATGTCTGGGGATTTTTCACTGATTTTTTCATTCCACCCTCATTTTTTTTCCCTTTTCTCCGCATTTGGGGACCAAACCTTTAGTTTTTTTTCATCATTGGGTCAGAAATTTTTTGGGGGGTTGGGGGGGGAGACCCTTTTGGTTTGGGGGCCTAAGGGGGTTGTGGTGTAGGGGGGGATGTTTTTGATGGGGGGGGGGGTTCAGAAATGCCCAAAAGGGACAGCGGTTGGGGTGGGGTTTGTGATAGGGGGTTTGGGGGCAGGGGGAAAACATGAGGGGGGTTGGAGTAAAATTTTTGCTCATTTGGGTTTGGGGAAAAGTCGCGGGGGGGGGTTTTTTTGGGTGGGAGATTTTTGGGGGGGGTTGTTTCCCCTTTCCCCCCTGTGTCTGGGTCCCGTTCATTTTCATTGCTTCCGTTTCCCCCTTGGGGTTTTCTTTTACCCCCCTTTTCAGTGTATCCTTTCTTCTTGTGTTCTGTCGCGGTGAGGTATACTCTCTGGTACCCCTCTTTGTCTCTCAGTCTTGCTTTCTCTTGGGAGAATCCGGGTTTGAATGTTTTTTTCCTTGAAAGTTACTCTTACAGGCCCTATCCTTAAATCGCAAAACCCCCCAAATTTTCTGAAAAAATTTTTCCCTGGGGGCAAATTTCCCTCCCCTTTTGTTTTTTTGATGGGCCTTTTTAATCATTTTTTTCCCTCCTGTTTTATTTTTTCAAAGTTGGCCCCCCCTTTGGGTTCTTGGGGCCCCTACACAAAAAATGACCCCCGGCCCTTTCCTCCTCCCAAGGGGCTCCATCTGCTTCCCCCTGAGGCATTTTGTTTCCTTCCATTGACATTTTCTTGCCTTCGTCCCCGTTTATATCTGGGAAAAATCTATTCTTTGTGGACTTCTTTCCTGGGCCCGCTGTCCCCTTTCTACTGAGTTTGGGGTTTGAACCCTGCTTTTAACAAACCTTTTATTTTTTTTCACCTGTCGCTTTTATTTAGTGTGCCCTCGCCCTTCCCTGGGGCCCCCTTTGGGGCCCCCCCCGTAGGGGCCCCTTTGTGTATGGCAAAGTTCCTTGTTGCTTACCATCCCCCCTTTTCTGCGCCTGATCCCGAATTTTTCCCTCATTGTCTTCCGGGCCTGTTTTGATCTCAGTGCTCGCGCTTTTCCCCCGGCCCCAGTGGGGGCTGGGTAGGGCCTTTTTCCCGACGGCAGTCTCCCTTTTTTCTTACCCCTTTCCCCTTTTCTGCGCCCTGACTTTGAATTTCCTGATTTTCACGTTTTTGAATTGTCATTTGTCCCCTCTAATCTGTTTCAGGCCCTTTTCTGTTTCCTTCTGCACTGTACCTAGCTTTTTGCGCTAAAGGGCCCGTACTTCCCCCTTCCCCGCACTCTTCAGCTACCGCTCCTCCATTTTCTTACCAAAAACTCTAAATCTTTTCCCCCCCCCACTCTTCCTCCCTTTTTGGAGCTCTAAAATCCCCCGTTTTCCTCCCTGGTTTTCTACCAGAAACTCTGGTTTTTCCCTCCCTAAGGCCACCCATATTTTTTTTTTTTTTTTTTTTTTTTTTTTTTTTTTTTTTTTTTTTTTTGTTACCGAAAACAAAAAGGTAGAGGAGGGGGGGGGGGTTTGGGGGGGGAGGGAAAAGGGAGGAGAGAGGGAAAAGGGGAAAGGGTTTAAAAGGGGGGAGAGGGGAGAGAGGGAAAGGGGAGAAAGGGGGAGAGGAGGAGAGGAGTAAGGGGTGAGGGATAAGGGCCAAGGGGGAGAAGAGGGAAAAGTGAGGGGGGGGAAAAAAAAGTGTAGAGAAGGGGAAAGAGGGGGGGAGGGAGAGGGAGAGAAAGGGGAGAGGGAGAAAGGAGGGCAAGGGAAAAGGCTATGGGGGAGAGGGAAAAGGAGAGATGGAGAGAGGAGTAGGGGAGGGGAGGGAGGGTGAGAGATTGGGGTTATTGGGGGGTGAGGGAGAAGGGGGGAGGGGAGAGGAGAGAGAGGGGGAAGAGAGAGAGGGAAAAAGAGAGAGGGGGGGGGAGAGAGAGGGAGAGAGAGAGGGGAGAGAGAGGGGGAGATAGAAGAGGGAAAAGAAAAGGGGGGAGAGAGGGGAAGGGGGGGGGAAAAAAGAGAGGGAGGGGGAAGAGAGGGGGGAGAGAGAGGGAGGGGGAAAAGGGGAGAGGGGGGGGAGAGGGGGGAGAGAGGGGAGAGAAGAGAGGGAGAGAGAGAGGGAGAGAAAGGGAGAGGGGCGAGGGAGAAGGGGAGGGGGGAGAGAGGGAGGGGAGAGGGAAGAAGAGGGAAAAGGGGGGAGTAGGGAGAGAGAGAGAGGGAGAGTGGGGGGAAGAGAAGGGGGGAGAAGGGGGAGAGAAGAGGGGAGGGGGGGAAAAGAGAGAGAGGGGGGGAGAGAGGGGGGGGGAAAAGGGGGGAGAGAGAGGGAGAGGGAGAGAGGGGGAGAGAGAGAGGGAGGGGAGAGGGAGAAAAGGAGGGAGAAAGAGAAAGGGGGAGAGAGAGGGAGAGAGAGGAGGGAGAAAAGAGAGAGAGGGGGGGAGAAAAGAGAGGGGGGAGAGAGAGAGGGGAGAGAGAGCGAAGGAAAAGAGGGGGAGAGGGAGAGGGGAGAGAGGGAGGGGGGAGAGAGAGAGAGAAGAGAGAGAGAGAGGGGAGGGGAGGGGGAGGGGAGGGGAAGGAGGGAAAGGGGAGAGGGGGAGGGAGAGGGGGGGGGGAGGAGGGAGAGGGGAGAGGGAGAGAGAGAGGGAGAAGAGAGAGGGGGAGAGAGAGAGAGAGGGGGGGGAGAGAGGGGGAGGAGAGAGAGAGAGAAGAAGGGGGGAGGGGAGGGAGAGAGGGGAAAAGGGGAGAAGAGAGAGAAGAGAGGAGAAGAGAGGGGAGAGGGGGGGGAGGAAAAGGGGAGGGGGAGAGGGGGGAGGAGCGGGGGGGAGGGAGGGTAGGAAGAGAGAGAGGGGAGGGGGAAAAAGAGAGAGAGAGAGAGAAGAGGGGAGAGAGGGGGAGAGAGAGAGGGGGAGAGAGGGGGAGAGAGAGAGGGGAGGGGGGAGCGGGGGGGAGGAGTGAAGCGAGAGAGAGAGAGAGAGAGGGGAGAGAGAGAGAGGAGAGAGGAGAGGGGAGAGAGAAACGGGGGAGGGGAGAGCGGGGAAAAGAAGAGAGAGAGGGGGCGAGAGGGGAGAAGAGAAAAAGGGAGAAGGGAGAGGGGGAGAGAGGGAGAGAGAGGGGAGAGGGAGGGGAGGAGAGAGAGAAGAGAGGGAGAGGGAGGAGAGAGAGGGGAGAGGGGAGAGAGAGAGCGGAGAGAGAGAAAAAGGGGCAGGAGAGAGAGGGGGGGAGCGAAGAGAGAGAGTGAGAGGGGAAAAAGAGGGGGAGAGGGAGAGAAAAGGGAGAGGAGGGGGAGAGAGGGAGAGGAAGAGGGAGAGGGAGGGGAGAAGGGGGGGGAGGGAGAGGGAGAGAGAGGGGGGGAGAGAGGGAGGGGGGGGAGAGAGGGGGAAGGGGAGGGGGAAGAGAGGGGGAGAGGAAAAGAGAGAGAGAGGGGGGGGGGGGAGGGGAGAGAGGGGGGAGAGGGGGGAGAGGGGGAGAGAGGAGAGAGGGAGAGAGAGGGAAAGAGAGGGGAGAGAGAGAGAGGGGAGAGAGAGAGAGAGGAGAGAGGAGGAGAGAAAAGGAGGAGGAGAGAGGGAGGGGAGAGAGAGAGAGAGAGGAAAAAAAGAGAGAGAGAGAGGGAGCGAGAGAGAGAGAGGGAGAGAGAGGGAGAGAGAGGGAGAGAGAGGGAGAGGAGGGAGAGAGGGGGGAGAGAGAGGGAGAGAGAGGGAGAAAAGAGGAAGAGAGAGAAAGGAGAGAGGAGAGAGAGAGAGAGAGAGAGAGAGGAAGAAGAGAGAGAGAGAGAGAGAGAGAGAAGAGAGAGAGAGGGGAGAGAGAGGGGGAGTGAGTGAGTGATCGAGTAGGGGGGGGAGGGAGGAGGGAAGAAAAAGTAGGGAGTGAGGGTCTGGGGGGGGGTTTCTGTGGGTGGGGCGGGTCAGATTCCAAGGATCAGCTGTGTGTACTCGCCTAGATGTGGTTTCGGGGGGTCGAGACCCAGCTCCCGGCCCGCAGTGTGTATGTTTTGTGCGCGCGTTGTGTGTGTGTGGGCACGTCAGTTGTTTATATGTCCCAGAAATACAACTCCTTCTGTGTACCCGTAATACTAATGAGATCCATTAACACTGAGAGTAGTTTAATAATTATAATACTAGGGGTTGTGTTAACAAGTCACTTTTTCACTACCTTTTTACTACATGTGTACCCAATACTTGCTTCTCAGATTGGTACTGTCTTTGTGTCCTAAAACATTATCTCTCGAAACTGTTGTCAGGGCTGTAGTCCCATTAGTCCTTGCTCCTACAATTTTATCTTCCTACTACTGCTAGGTGTTTTGTGTATGATAATCGCCCTGGAGCAGGGTTAAAGATAGCCAGCTACCAGTGTCCGCCGGGCCGGTTCTACCCTCAGACTTCCGCCACCACAAACAAGTGATTTGTACGTTAGTGTGTGTGTGTGTGTGTGTGTGTGTGTGTGTGTGTGTGTGTGTGTGTGTGTATGTCTGTGTGTGTGTGTGTGTGTGTGTGTGTGTGTGTGTGTGTGTGTGTGTGTGTGTGTGTGTGTGTGTGTGTGTGTGTGTGTGTGTGTGTGTGTGTGTTGTGTGTGCGTGCGCATGTGCGTGTGTGCTTGCTTGCATGCAAGTGTTGGCTTGCAACAGACAAAAACAGACATGATAACTTACTTCATGTAAACTGTGAACAACAGTTACAATGTTATAGAAGATGGTAAGAGCATCACGTTCTGTCAGTTTCTTCTTTGTGATAACATAGTGTTGGAGATTGATAAGATCAGCTGTATTGGGGCAATAGTCATGAGGTGTAACACAGTCTAGTACTAGACACACACGCCTCACAAGACCTCCAGTAGCAACAATCAAACCACCAGATTGCTCTCGGGCTCCACAAGCATAATCCTAGGATTATTTACTTGGAGTTACTTTGCAGCAATACAAAGTCATTTTTTTTTGGCCACCAATAAAATAAAACTAAATATCAATGATAGAATTATTTCCTGTAATTATTATTATTATTTTATTATTACAATCACAACCAAGCAATAAAACCAAGGGTCATATATAGCATGCAGAGCTTTCTTTGTGTGGTAGCCATAAATAGAATATGCCTCACACATTTCAAATGCCTTCAAGCATTAAGAACACTATTGAATGGCCATCTAAAACATTATTTTTAGAAAATATGAAGTATGCTGATTCGGCTAACTTATAACTGATAGGTAAAACCATTACAACTTTCTACAACAAAAAAATAGTTTTGTTTAAGGCATGTTGACTTCCCTCAGCCAGCACACGTAAATGAGGAGGTAGAAGAGGAAAAACATAACCATATAGAAAGACACAACTAAATACAAAAACTACAAGCAATGAAAAAAAACAGTAATTAAGAGTATTGAGAAGGTGATGGTGTGTGCGATAGAAAAACGTGAGGAGAGAGAAGAGAGAGAGAGGAGAGAGAGATAAAAGAGAGAGAGAAGATAGAGAAAATAGAGATGAGAGAGAAAGATATGAGAGAGAGAGAGAGAATGAGATGAGAGAGAGAGAGAGAATGAGAGAGATGAGAGAGAGATCAGAGAGATGAGAGAGAGAGATGAGAGAGAGAGAGATGAGAGAGAGAGAGAGATGAGAGAGAGAGAGAGATGAGAGAGAAAGAGATGAGAGAGAGAGAGAGAGAGATGAGAAAGAGAGAAAAAGAGAAAAATGAGAGATTGAGAGTAGTGAGAGAAAAGTGAGAAAGAAGAGAGAAAAGTCAGAAAAAGAGACAGAGAAAGGGATAGAGAAAAAAAAGCAACTGCTAACATTTGCCATATTTTAGAGGCTACAAACTTGTCTCTCACCTGAAAGAGGCCATGATGCTGAATAACACCACACTGTCCTGACAATAAGGAAAGGAGGGAGTGCTCAGTGTGTAAAAGCATTTTGCCCTGTTTGTCATCTTGCGTTTCATCACATGCTTCTCTCACAGTTAAGATCTTTAAAGTGTAAAAGTTATCTGTAAAGAAAACATAATTCAAGTTAAAATGAAACTTCGAAATGATAACTGGAGTATCATAAGCACTAAGAATAATTAATAAGCACTTAGTAATAATTAATTTCATTTTTGTATCCACATCAAAACAGAGACATGACAGATTATCAGGGCTGTACAGTTTGGTGTCTAAGATGAAGAGGGTCTCAGAGGGTGAAATATACAGCCTTCCTAACTTTTTTTTTTTTTTTTTAATTTCTGTTTTCATGTGATTTATAAATTACACAGCTTCATAAGATTATAAGGAATCAAAATAATTTTACTTTTATCATGAATTTAATAACCTAAACATTCAAAAACTACATTATACTGTACATTATTTGCAGTTAGTGTAAATAGCCTGCATTTAACTAATAAAGTGCCCTTTACACTTCTAATACTATACACTATAATGCCCACGAACAGTCACAAAGAAATAGAAAATATACCCCATATAGATGCTTCATAGTACATACAGTACCTGTATTTTCTTTGCGTGCCAAACACTGCACGATGGAACGAACTGGAGATGATCCCAGGCGCGGCCCCAGAAGGTAGGGTCCTGCACGTCTTAGCTGACCCTTTGGCACAGGTGCCCCTGCAGTTGCAACTGAAGCACCAAACAAATTTTAATGTACAGTACTTTATTTTCATATTAAAAATATCATTGTACATTTCATCTCAGATACACCACTAAATTCCTTTATTTCATAAAGACAAATAATATGTATTTTACATTAATAAAAATAAAATGTACAAAAATTAATTATGCTGAATTGTCTAAATTTACTTCTGCAATAAAAAACTAGCACCATAAGAAAAACAAAATACTGTAATGGAAACAGATGAGTGGGTGAGAGTACCAAAGTGAGGAGGAATAAGAGGGTAAGAGATGAAAGTTTGGAAGAAAGTATCTCACAGTATCCATCTGTGTGAATGTAGGATGTTTTGGCCCCAGACCATTTTGTTCACAATACAGCTACTGTATTTGCAAATTATCACTAAACAAATCTAACATTTAGGGCCAAAACTTGCATCCAACATCTATGTATGAGGCTTAACATAGATCTGCATTAAACTAGTTATTACAGTACAGAGCAAAAGTAATTATTGAGAACCAAATCAATCTCATGTATTAAATTACCTAAATTACATGTATTAAATTACCTAAATCTCATAAATGCACAATCCCTTCATAAATACTGAATGAAAATTAAATCTGGATATAACTGGTTAAAATTAATATTTGCTGAGAGTACAATATTACTGCACAACTCATAGTACGCACAACACCCCAATCTGAAATAAAGTTAATACAAAAATGATAATCTCAATTTAGTTACATCTTTTTATGACAGACAATAACACAGCTATGCCTAAGATATTAAACAGAACAAGATGTTGAGGAAGTGCGATTCCTTTTCCTCTGAGCACAAGAGAGATATGCTACCACTGCATACTCACTTAGCTCTTGTCTTTATTTCAAACCTACACATATTATATTTGCTTATTTTAACAATATATATACATGACAAATTAACTATTTTTTTTCTTTTGGCTTCAAACTTGCCCTAAATACTATGCATACTATGAAATTCACAAGAAATGAACTATACATCTCATTATGAATACAGTTACTTGATGAAACAGAAGAAAAGCAGCAGCAAAGCTGGTAACAGAGAAAGGCACTAATACAAAGCAAGAGTTTGAGGAAGAGGTCCAAGAAGTGGTAGGTGGGAAATGGAGGAAAATTTATCCAAATACAGCGGTCCCTCGATAATAGTCAGGCTCGATAGTTGTCCTTGTCGGAAATCGTCGCGTTATTTTAGTCCAAACATTGGTTTGCAAATAGTCAGTTGACTCGCTAATCGTCGTTCGTCCTGGACGCATACTCACAGCTCTGAGCCGCCTCGGCCTCCCTTCCCAGCCAGTGTGCCATTGTTTACCAATGAGCGACGGTCCCCTCACGTGTTCATATGAAATATTTCATAATATTCCATTCATTTTAGTGCTTGCAAGTGCTAAATAAGCTACCATGGCTCCAAAGAAAGCTCCTAGTGCCAAGCCTTTGGTATAGAAGGTGAGAAATACGACTGAATTTAAGAAAAACATCATTGAACAATATGAAAGTGGCGTACGTGTGGCCGAACTGGCCAGGATGTATAACAAATCCCGTACAACCATATCTTCCATCGTGGCCAAGAAAAAAGAAATCAAGGAAGCTGTTGTTGTAAAGGGGGTAAATATGCTGGCAAAAATGAGATCACCAGTACTCAAAGAGGTTGAGAAGTTATTATTGGTGTGGATAAACGAGAAACAATTAGCAGGAGATAGTATTATGACGATTATTTGTGAAAAGGCTAGGAAGTTGCACGATGATCTGGTAAAGAAATTGCCTGCAACGAGTACTGATATTTGTGAATTTAAGGCCAGCAAAGGTTGGTTTGAGAGATTTAAGAACCGTAGTTGCATACACAGTGTGATAAGGCATGGCGAGGCTGCCAGTTCGGACAAAATTGCAGCTACAAAATTCATAAGTGAATTCAAGGAGTACATAGAGGCTGAAGGACTGAAACCTGAACAAGTGTTCAATTGTGACAAAACAGGTCTCTTTTGGAAGAAAATGCCAAAGAGGACCTACATTACTCAGGAGGAAAAGGGACTGCCAGGACACAAGCCTATGAAAGACAGGCTGACACTCATGATCTGTGCTAATGCTAGTGGGGGTTTCAAAGTGAAGCTGTTACTAGTGTACCATTCTGAAAATCCCAGTGTTCAAAAAAAACAATGTTATGAAGAGTAAATTGTGTGTGTTTTGGAGATCTAATAATAAGGCATGGGCCACGAGAGAAATTTTCGTCGAGTGGTTCAATGAAGTGTTTGGCCTTAGTGTGAAGAATTACCTCCTGGAAAAGAAATTGGATCTCGAGTGCATCCTAGTAATGGACAATGCACCTGCTCATCCTCCAAACTTGGATGACCTAATTCTGCAGGAGTTTGGTATCATCACAGTAAAGTTCTTGCCCCCAAATACCACTCCTCTCCTCCAGCCCATGGACCAGCAGGTTATTTCAAACTTTGAAAAACTCTACACCAAAGCAATGTTTCAAAGGTGTATCCACAAGAGGGATTTTGAAGGGTTCGTGGCTGACCCTGATGAGCCTATGTCAGTTGTGAACTCTATTGTGGCATTGGGGAGTTCCATGGGGTTGGATGTGAGTTTGGAGGATGTGGAAGAGTTGGTGGAGGACCACAATGAAGAGCTAACCACTGAGGAGCTGCAAGAGCTTCAGCAGGAACAGCAACAGATCGCAGCTCAGAATATTGCTGCAGAGGAGGAGGAAGAGAGATGGAAGAAGGTGCCCACTTCAGAAATTAGGGAGATTTTTGAAATGTGGGGTAGGATGGAAAGATTTATGGAGAAACATCACCCTGAGAAGGATGCTGCAAGCCATATCAGCAACTTGTACAGTGACAGAGTCTTGGCCCATTTTAGGGAAGTTTTAAAGAGACACCAGAAACAGAGCTCTCTGGACACTTTTTTTGCGAGACAGGACTCCAGTGACTCTCAAGCTGGTCCTAGTGGCATTAAGAAACAGAGAAGAGAAGTAACCCCAGAAAAGGACTTGGTACCTAAGGTGTTGATGGAAGGGAATTCCCTTTCCAAACAGTAACTAATCCAATCTCTCTCCTCCTCCAGTCTTCCATACACTAAGAAGAATCGCCAATAAAGGTAAGTGTTATGCTGTTAATGTTTCATTCATCATGTCCCATTGTATTGTGTATGTACTACATCTATATTTCATAAACCATACCCCAGCCGAGATTGAACCCACGGTCAGAGAGTCTCAAAACTCCAGCCCGTCGCGTTAGCCACTAAAAATTTTTTGTTTTAATACTTATGGGTGCCAAAAACGGATTAATAGTACAGTGGACCCTCACCTAACGATATTAATTGGTACCTGAGAATGAATATCGTTAGGCGAGTTTTTTTTAGCGTTAGCTGAGGCAAAGTGTTTGCGTTAAAATGTATCGTTAGCTGGATTTAACATTAGGTGATGCCATCACTAGCTGAGGGTCCACTGTATTTACATTATTTCTTATGGGGAAAATTGATTCGAAAATCGTCTTTTTTGATCGTCACACTTCCAGGAACGGATTAACAACAATAAACGAGGGACCACTGTAATTATTTTACCTACAATTAATAATTCTAAAAAAAAAAAAAGTCGATGTCTTTGTGGTTCTTTAAACTACATGATTAACATTAAACCAAAATAAATCTCTCTCCAAAACACAAACATAAGAACAGCAGCAGTACATGCTAGCATAGCAAGCATGAAAATAACTTATGGATACTTTAGAATTAGAAAAATCCAAACAGGAATTATTACTCAAGAAATCGTAATGACACGGGGGTATGGCAGGAATTATTAGTTTTTAATAATTTTTTAAATCTAAATTTTATAAGACTTTATTCTTGAAAAAAAGAAATTTAAGTTAGCAATTTGCAGTTTGTTATTTCCTCTCTTCCAGTTAAAAGAAAAAATTAAATTGACTGTTTGTATATCTGAAGTACTAATGATGTATTTTCCAAAAAGCTGATAAAATTATCCAGCAGTTTTTGAGTTATGGCTCTTTCCTCCATTTATGCCATCCACTGCAGAATCTCTCTGGAAACCCTTCTTATAATGTCTTACCTCATGTACTAAAACAGTTATTTCTATCTAGTTGACTGTACGTAGCAAAACAGTTACAGCCTCTCCTCACTTAGCGACGTACTCATTTACCGACGACTCGGACTTACAATGGGCTCTCTGATCAATATGCATACCTAAATAATGTATATTAGAGCTGATTTCCTCTATTCTGTTTATTACATTATGCAGTACACTACTGTATAAACATTTAAAAATATATCAGAAATGTTATGAATGGTGCAAAGGTGACAACAGAACTCAGTCATTAAGTAAGGAGAGGCTGTATTTCTTTCTATGGTAGTTACTCATAAGCTAAAATACAGTACAGTGGTACCTTGAGTTACAAACTTATTTCATTCCAGAAGGCTGTTCAAGTGCCGATGCCGAACGAATTTGTTCCCATAAGGAATGATGTAAATTAGATTAGTCCTTTTCAAACCCCCAAAAATACACTTGCAAAAACCCTTACAAAAATACACTTACATAACTGTTCGAGTTGGGAGCTGTTCAAAACTTGAGGTACCACTGTATTTCAATGTGTAATATTAAGCCATTTGATAAACTAACCACATAGTCAATGAACATAAACATCTAAACAGCGGAAACAAATCAGATTAATTTTTAGGTGCATAAACAATGCAAGATAATACCAACTACTCTGTGCAGTGAACAAAAATATAAATTACTGTATATTCTACATAATGAATACTTATCTGAATCAACCTTGTCTTACATGATTGCTACTTTTATAAGTTCCTTAATGTGTAAATGAAATAATATACTGACAGACTTATAATCCACAGCAAATACCAATTTTTATAACAATTTTCATCAATTCTGCCACACCTCCTAACATTAGGACATACCTTTGCCAGACTGAAGTAAACATTTCTCTTTGACCTTACGTTCCTCATCCCTGGTGAGAAAGAAATGAGCTTCCAATTCATGTTGAACTGTATTTAAAGGTGCTGATGTCATCAGTGATGTGCTTGGGTCTTCTTCCAGTAAGCTGTCATTACTGTCCTGCTCTCTAATTAATCTGTCTTCATATGCTTCCAGTTCAACCTGTTGACTTTGTGGTCTCAATGATCCCAATGTGTGATGACCATTACTTAAGTTAGAAGCATGTGAGGCAGCTGCAGGCAAAGATGAAAATGACACTGGAGATGAATAAGCAGATGATGGATGTGATACCATTCTAGGTGTCTCAGTAAATTCATCCACTGGCAATGTATTAAAGGAATCTGCAGTCAAATTTGCAACTGAAGAATGATTCCCACTGATATTAACGTTAGTTTGATCAGATAATAAACCTGATGGTAAAGGAGAAGAAATAGGAGAATTCACGGTATGCATAACGAAACTAAGAGAAGTGACAAACCCTTCCCCACTTGTAGAATAAGTCACAGGCACAACACCCACTGAATCATTTGATGAATCAGATGAAGACTCAGATGACAATGCCAGAAGTTGCAAAGGACATGCAGAGACAGATAGTGGAGGCAAATTACTACTGCCACTCTGTGTGGGCACTACACAGCCTGATGTGGAGGAAGAAAGTGTAGTTAAAGATGATGATGATGATGATGACGATAATGACGATGATGATGATGATGAAGATGATGATGATGATGATGAGGATGAAGGTACAGCACCGTCTGAAGTAGACGGCACACTAGAAGTGGATATTAATGTTTTAACTGATGGCACCGAAAGAACTGAAGAAGTAACACACAATGGTAAAGTAGATGCTACAGATGACTGTGATATATGCTGGGATGACAGAACTGAGGAAGCGGATGATGAGGGTGTAGATGTAGTTAATATAGTACTAGCTGTTATAACAGGTGTAGCTGTAGTTAATACAACACTAGTTGTTGTGACAGGAATAGTTTTAGTTAATAAAGCACTAGCTGTTGTAAGAGGTGTAGCTTTAGTTAATATAACACTAGCTGTTGTAACAGGTGCAGTTAATGAAATACCAATAGTTTGTTTGGCCCCAGTAACTAGAGGTGCTGTTACTGCTGTTGGTACAGGTAATATAGTAGGAAGAGGCGCAGTTACAGTTGAAACTGTAGTACCTGTAGTGACAGGTATAGATGTAGTAGCAATAGCAGATGAGACCTTTGGTTTTGTTGGTAGTGATGAAAACACAACTATAGGTGTTTTATTAGCTGCCAAAGATTTGTTCAATATAGCAGATGTAGAAGAGCATATCACTGATGATGATGAAGCAAAAACTGTTTTTAGGATAGGCTTTGCTGCAACGGAAACTGTACTTGTTGGGAATTTTTTCAAAGAGGAAGTTTGTGCTTTAGCAGTGTTTATTTCAGAAGCTGCTTGTAATGTAGCTGCTGCTGTAACAATAGATACTGATGCAGCTGTAGCAGTTTGGGATGAAGTAGCTGCATTTGCTGTTAATAATACTTTTGCATCTGATGAAACAGCAGTCGGCAATAATGAACTTGATGTTACAACTGCTTTTGACACAGTATTTCTTGTTGAAGTAAAAGCTAAAGCTGGTACTTGTAAAGAGTGACCTACTCCCCTAATGGAGCTGTCTGCTCCTTCAGTGGACGGTGTTACATTTCTCTCTGACAAAGATGTATTTTGTTGTTTTCCAGCATGGTGTCTTCTCTGTAATTCCCACCTCTCATTATCTGGTAGAGATCTCTTCATTCTTCACTTCAGTACTAATCATTTTATTTTTACAAGTCCTGCAACAAAATTACAATACTGTATAAACCTTAAGTGTACATATCGTACATGCTCAAGTATATACATGTACTAACTGTTTAAGACCTATTCAAAGTGAGAGGCAAAAATTTTAACAATCACTTTATGAAAATAGAAAGCAATTACAATACTTATACTGCAAGTAAAGAAAATTGTTTAATGCCCCATTTATATAAAAGACCATTTTAATATTTGTAGCACTGTCTACCACAGTGTTTATGGCCAGCAGAATACCCAAGAACATTTTATGAGCCTCAAATTCAGTGTCATCTGCAAAGGAAGACACGGTACTGTGGCTTACATCTCTGTCTATGTCAGATTTGAGGATGAGGAACAGGATGGGAGCGAGTACTGTGCCTTGTGGAATAGAGCTTTTCACTGTAGCTGCCACTGACTTTACACTGTTTACTATTACTCTTTGTGTTCTGTTTGTTTGGAAGTTACCCTCCAGGTAAACTCCAGGTTACAGATTCATCTACCACCTTTTCCTGTTATTCCTTTATCACACATTTTTGTGTGCTATTACAATATGGTCACACTTGTTGAAGGTTTTCCCAAAGTCTGTGTGTGCTACATCTCCATTTTGCTTGTCCTCCAGAGCATCCAAGACCATGTCATAGTGGTCTAGTAGTTGGGACAGGCAGGAGAGACCTGCTCTAAACCCCACATTGCCCTGGGTTGTGTAACTGCTGGGTATCTAAGTGGGTGGCAATCTTGTTTCTTAGAACCCTTTCAAAGACTTTTATGATGTGGGACATAAGTGCAATCAGTCTAATGCTTTACTGCCGCATTTGTGGAGTGGGACTATGTCTGTTGTTTTTCGTGACTGTGGGATGACCCCTGTGTCCATGTTCCCTCACCATCAAATGTTAATGGCACGTGAAAGGGGCTTCTTGCAGTTCTTGATGAACATGGAGTTTCATGAATCTGGGCCTGGGGCCCAGACTCATGCATTGGCATGTCATTTACTGCTTTTTCAAAATCCAATATATGTCTAAAATAGTTTTTAAAACAGTGAGAATTCCTTCTAAACTACATTACTGCACTGCTTCTCAACTGACATAACTCAGCCTGTACTACTCTTTAATCTATCCAATAAATACAAACAATGTGATTTTTTTTTAATTTGGGGTTCCTAAATGGTCTATTAAGTTCTTAGCTGAATCTGCAAAATTTTACCTATGATATTCCTTTGATAGGTTTCGAGAGTTTGTCTACTCCCACAGCCCAGTTTTGGGCTAAGATGAAACAATTATGTGTTTACTCCTCCTATTGTAGAAATTCATAAAAATGTCTGTAAACAAACATTTATATATTATCTGACAAAGCTCCTGGAGAGTGAAATGTTGCTGCCACAATAAAATGTTGCATTAGTTGCACTTGTTTCCTTTTACCTATCAAGGGAAGTCATGCCAGGAAAAACATATTAAAGCTGCATAAATTTAGATTTAGAAAGGACATAGGTTAGTGCTGGTTTTCAAAGAGAGTGGTTGATGCATGGAACAATCTTCCAAGTAGGGTAATTGAAGCTAGGACCCTGGGTAGCTTTAGGAAGAGAGTGGACATATATATGAGCGGGAGGGGCTGGGTTTGATTGGTGTCATGGGTAAGGGAGTAAATTCTGGGTAGCTTCGGGAAGGGGTAGTTTGGTAAGGACCTGTCTTGTATGGGCCAGTAGGCCTTCTGTAGTGTTCACCCTTTCTTATGTTCTTAAAGCTTACCTAATTATATATGTCAAGTAGTAATAACATAAATTAACCTTAAATTAAGGCCTAAGGTAAGGAGTAGATTTTGTTCACATTATTAACCCAAAGGATTAGTAACAGCAGCAGCACCAAGGAAGGGAAGCTTGGGGAGACTTTAGCCCCAAATAAAAATAGTAATAATAATAATACTGCTTTAAACCAAGTTCCCTAGCCCCAACTTCTAACCAAACAGTTACCCCTAAGCCCCATTCCCAGTAGAAAAATACCGTTTATTTTCAAAAATTCTGGCGCCACCCATAGTTAGTAACTTAGTAAATTATTTTTACTGGATTTCCTTCAATTCTCAAACAAGGATGTGACTCAAAACCCAGGTACCTAGTTACTGCTAAATGAAAAGGGGCAACAAGTGTAAAGAAACATAATATTAATGGTACATAATGGCGACAACTTGATGAACTAGACACACGTGCAACACCTGGGTATATTCTAAAGACATTTCGTCAGTCAAGTGGCTTTTTCAGCCTAACACAGAGCTTATTAACTGAAGAAAGTAGGAGATAAGGTAATGTCCTTAAGCCATGAAAATGTTAAAACTGGAGAGTAGAAGATGAGGTAATTAGACCCTCAGCTCTGGGGAAAGGTATTTACTAACTTAGGAAATGCAGATAATGTTTCCAGTGGTCCCAGGATGGTCTGTCAGGTCATGTCTTACCAAAGAACCAATAATGGCTTGGTAAATCATTACTTCTCGCCATTAAGCATATTATATAATACCGTGTTTAATGAAATCATTGCAAAAATGTAAAAGTGGAAAATGAAAATACATGTAAATAAAATATGTAGCTATATATGAAAATAATTGTAACCTGTTCTTTTGTTGTTGTTGTTGTTGTTAAGGTTGTTCAGGGCCACCAAAACTGATGCTTTATTGAGGTCCGCCACCGGGAGTCCGGAGAAAATATATAAATAAATAAATAAATAAATATCTTTATTTTTACAAGTAAATGTACAAGGTATACAGGCCTAGCTGACATCAATGACATACTACTATATAGAAAGCCCCTTGTTATGCAGAGCATTTTTGGGCAAATTAGGTCAGTTTTGTCCCAGGATGGGGACCCACACCAGTCTACTAACACCCAGGTACCTATTTTACTGATGGGTGAATACTGACAACCGGTGTAAGGAAACACGTCCGATGTTTCTACCCTTCGCTGGGAATCGAACTCGGACCCTCACCGTATGAGGCGAAAGTTTTCCACAAGGCCACGGGGCACCGTTTCGTGCCGAATAGGTAAAACTTTCTATTTTGGCTTGAACAGCAGCGCTCATCTCGCCGTATAAGACAAGCGAAAATTTGTGTATGCAACAATTTCGCAAAAATCATTCTGACCCTAAATAAAAAAATATATTTCATTGTGGTTGTTTATTATTAAATTATTGTAAACTTATCTAAAATATAATAATAATAATAATAATAATAATAATAATAATAATAATAATAATAAGATAAGATAAGATAAGATTTCGTTCGGATTTTTAACCCCGGAGGGTTAGCCACCCAGGATAACCCAAGAAAGTCAGTGCGTCATCGAGGACTGTCTAACTTATTTCCATTGGGGTCCTTAATCTTGTCCCCCAGGATGCGACCCACACCAGTCGACTAACACCCAGGTACCTATTTGCTGCTAGGTGAACAGGGCAACAGGTGTAAGGAAACGTGTCGAATGTTTCCACCCGCCGGGAATCGAACCCGGGCCCTCCGTGTGTGAAGCGGGAGCTTTAGCCACCAGGCCACCGGGTCACTTAGATTTTGACACCGAAGTGGCTAGTTTATTGTGCACTCCATATCCATCCTGTGGACGGGAGCGCAAGAGCATATGGATACACAAAAGACTTAGGAACTAGGCCCCATATGGGTTAACAGGTGTACATATGGTTTTTCTTATCTACATATCTACAGTTTAAAAACTGTAGTGTAAAGCACCCTTCTGGAAAGACAGTGATGGAGTGAATGATGGTGAAAGTTTTTCTTTTTCGGGCCACCCTGCCTTGGTGGGAATCGGCCAGTGTGATAATAAATAATAAAAAAATCTACAGTTCACTTATCTGTTACAAGCAAATTTAAGAAATTTGCTTATAATAATAATAATAATAATAATAATAATAATAATAATAATAATAATAATAATAATAATAATAATAATAATAATAATAATAATAATAATAATAATATCATTATTTACTATAAGTACATGTACAAGGTATACAGATCATAGCTGACATTAATGACATACTACTATATAGAAAGCCGCTTGTTATGCAGAGCATTTCGGGCAAATTAGGTCCTTGTCCCAGGATGCGACCCACACCAGTCCACTAACACCCAGGTACTCATTTTACTGATGGGTGAACATAGACAAAACACGCCCAATGTTTTTACCCTCGCTAGGAATTGAACGCAGACCCTCGCCGTGTGAAGCGAGAGCTTCAGCCATCAGGCTAAATTAAGTTGCGTTTGTTATAACAAGGTTAGGTAAATTTTCTAAGGTTCTTTTGGTACAAAATTATTAATTTTTACATGAACATAAATAAAAAAAAATATTTTTAAACGTATAAGAGAAAATTTTAGAAAGGATTTAATCTTAAATGAATTCTTGCTAAGTGACCAGTTTTTACCTAAGTAACAACTGGTATACCAGTGCTGGGTATCAGTGGCTATGTAACAACTGGTGTACCAGTGCTGGGTATCAGTGGCTATGTAACAACTGGTGTACCAGTGCTGGGTATCAGTGGCTATGTAACAACTGGTGTACCAGTGCTGGGTATCAGTGGCTATGTAACAACTGGTGTACCAGTGCTGGGTATCAGTGGCTATGTAACAACTGGTGTACCAGTGCTGGGTATCAGTGGCTATGTAACAACTGGTGTACCAGTGCTGGGTATCAGTGGCTATGTAACAACTGGTGTACCAGTGCTGGGTATCTGGCTATGTAACAAACTGGTGTACAGTGCTGGGTATCAGTGGCTATGTAACAACTGGTGTACCAGTGCTGGGTATCAGTGGCTATGTAACAACTGGTGTACCAGTGCTGGGTATCAGTGGCTATGTAACAACTGGTGTACCAGTGCTGGGTATCAGTGGCTATGAACAACTGGTGTACCAGTGCTGGGTATCAGTGGCTATGAACAACTGGTGTACCTGTGCTGGGTATCAGTGGCTATGAACAACTGGTGTACCTGTGCTGGGTATCAGTGGCTATGTAACAACTGGTGTACCAGTGCTGGGTATCAGTGGCTATGAACAACTGGTTGTACCAGTGCTGGGTATCAGTGGCTATGAACAACTGGTGTACCTGTGCTGGGTATCAGTGGCTATGTAACAACTGGTGTACCTGTGCTGGGTATCAGTGGCTATGAACAACTGGTGTACCTGTGCTGGGTATCAGTGGCTATGTAACAACTGGTGTACCAGTGCTGGGTATCAGTGGCTATGAACAACTGGTGTACCAGTGCTGGGTATCAGTGGCTATGTAACAACTGGTGTACCAGTGCTGGGTATCAGTGGCTATGAACAACTGGTGTACTGTGCAGGGTATCATTGGCTATGTAAACAACTGGTGTAGCCAGTCTGGGTATCATCGCTATGAACAACTGGTGTAACCCAGTTGCTGGTATCAGTGGCTATGTAACAACTGGTGTACCAGTGCTGGTATCAGTGGCAATGAATAACTGGTGTACCGTGCTTGGTATCAGTGGGCTATGAATTACAACTGTGTACCATGCTGGGTATCAGTGGCTATGTACAACTGGTGTATCCAGTGCTGGGTATCTAGTGGCTATGAACAACTGGTGTAGCCAGTCTGGATCAGTGGCTATGTTAACAACTGGGTGTACCTGTGCTGGTATCAGGGCTAAGTACAACTGGTGTACCATGCTGGTTATCAGTGCTAATTAATAACTGGTGTACCTAGTGCTGGGTATCAGTGCTAAAGTAACAACTGACTACCAGTGTGCCTGGGGTTGCAGTGGCCATGTAACAACTGGGTATACTGTGCTGGGTATCAGTGGCATGTAACAACTTGGTTTACCAGTGCTGGTTTCCAGTGGCTAAGTAATAACTGGTATAACAAGTTTAATTAACTTGGAGCTCCAACTTGTTCTCAGTCCCTTGAACCTACTCTCATTATTGGGTGATATAATGCAAGACACAAAAGCATTGGAAACTCTCAGTTTGGTAATCGTAAAGGATCAACTGTTGTCACTCTTAACATCATGAAAATGTGCAAATTGTAGGTGACCCCTGAACCCACAACATATTATGAGGGTGTCCTTGATCTGTGTCGGACTTCAACATTACGTCTCTCTGCCCTGTAGTCTTCCATGTTAACAGATATATGCGTCTGATCATTTTCCTTCCCAAGCTAACCTTTCTAGATATTGGTAATACTATCTCCCTGGTGGGATATTCAAACGAAAACTCTTAATGTTTCACCTGATCAACAGATGACTGTTGCACATGTGACTGACTGGTATAATTCTATGAGTGTACCTCTGTCGAGACTTTTAACATGACCTTGTTGAGCAGTATTTCGAGAACTTCCTTTAAGCCGCCTCTGAAACCTCCTACTACTCTAAATCAAATGACTGTCCATAATAATCATAAGTCTTATAAAAATCATAACCCATTACAATGATTCTAAACTTCGAACATTGAAACGTACTGGGCTCATCAGACTAGCTATCCTATAGAAAACCATCGTACACCTGAAATGCTGGAGCCTCTTCTAAACTGCCTTTGCTGCTGCCAGAGACGTATGACAAGCTGCGCAAACAGACTGGGAACAATTTGTCAAAATCTCAATGCTCACGCTACCCCACTTAGCCGGGTCAGGAGGGACAAAATAGAATAAGGGTAACCCGAACTGGGGCATATATCGCCGGCACCCTCATCCCTCCAAGGGGGCGAAAGAGTTATGTCAGTGCTTGGCTAGCTACATCTAGCTAAGACATTCTTCCCAGTACCTACACAGGCGAAATTAAAGAACAAATATGAGCAAGAAAGACTTGTGTGCCATTTATGCTCAGCAAGGCAGATGACTGTCAACATTCCTTTCACTAATTATGAACTTGATGCAGCACTAAAGGGCAACTCCCCGACGCCTGGTGAGGATGGTATACACCATACTCAGATTGCAGTGTCGAGTAACCAGTAATCATTTACTGAATTATATAACATGAGTATGTTCACTGGGAGCTCCCTAAATCCAAGGACTATAGCCTCATTATTCCCATTCCGAAGCCCAATCAACAAAACTCATTTTCGCCCAATATCCCTTAGCTAGCTGCTGTTAAAACATTCGAAGGAGATTCTTAATCGTCTTATGCACAAAATTAAGGGAATTCTTGTCACCCTGTTGCAGGCTTCAATGCATGGAAGGAGTGTGCATCATTGCATTACCCCTTTCTCACTCTGCACACTGACAGCTCATCACAACGTTCCCTTGACCTTAAATTCCGCTTTTGATGAAGCCAACCGACATGTAATCAGTAGTGAACTTTGCCAGAATGGGATGTTGGAGGAGGCTTCTCCGCTGGATTAAAAGGTTACCTGTCCAACAAAAGTCGTCTGTGTTTTTTTTCCAGGGACATAGAATTGTAACTACAGATTTTGAATTAGAACCCCTACAGGAGGTGTCTGCTTAATCCCACCCCTTTTCAACATTTTTGAATTAATTCATTACTTAATGCCCATCCTAGCCAGCCCATCATTATATGGTTAGTTTGCTGATGACATAATGAATTCACGACAACCGGATTCTCCAACACCCAAAACATTCTTAATCATGTACTAGCCTCGTGTCAGGACCTGGGGTTAATAATCTCAGGGGATAAAACAAAGATACT